ACATTTGCTTCAGCCGCACCGAACCTCACAAAAATAATATTCAGGGCGAGATTTGAAGCTTTCGTGACTGCAAGGATTCATATTCTTAGGTTTTTTCGGTAAAGTCACGTAGGTAAAAAAGTATCACTTGATACAGCTATCGTGCTGTGACAGTTACACCTGAAGACGGATGCTTGTGTTGCCTCCGAAACGTCGTGATTTTTATTTTTATTTTACTTTTATTATTAATTTGAATTTTTTACCTACGTGACTCTACCGAAAAAAACCTAAGAATATAAAGGACATTTATTTAAAAAGAGTGCTGACTAAATCGGTTACGTAAAAACCCCAGTATGAAATAAGAATGAGTATTAAGCAAGATAAATCTGTCAGTCCCCTGCAAGTTTGACTGCACCGGTAATGACGCTTCAGTGTGGAAAATGTACGCTGTTCGTTTTATGGCCTTAATTTCTACACGTCATGCATGTATCCGGTGAAAGCATGTAACACATGTGCAGCGTCGAGGAATAATCTTCTACAGGGCGAGCACTTGTCAGCAAGCGCTACCCTTGTGCATTTTTAAATGCGTCAGTTCATGCACAGCGCTGGCATTAACACGCCGATGTAAGCTCCCAGTGTAAACGGTCGTAGTTGTTAATCTTGCACTAACAAGCATCAAACATGCTATACAATTAAGGCGCATGTGGCCAGGCTGTAAATTACTACGCGGGCAAATTCATCTGAGGAAATGTTGTTCATTTATAATTCTCACTGGGTTGTTTTTGGGTGAATTCATATTTTGCGAATTTATTTTTACATACAATAATTTAAAAGCTGTTAAATTCAAGTAAGGCTTCTGAAAATGTCTGCTTCCCCCCCCGCCCCCCCCCCCAGGGCTTAGCAGGATGAATGAGTGCAGTCCGTGTTGGGGTGTTTTATGTAACTTGGCGTTGAGCCAACGTAAGAATATCCAGCATATGGGCATGAATGAAAACTAGATACACCCGTATTGTACGCAAGCAGCATGTTCCGGACAAATGTTGGTTCTAGTGCGTAGGTCCAGTAACAGGCGATGGGAGAAACAAAGCCCTCTTAGTGGTCGCATGCATGTAAATAATTTTTTTCTGGGCCGTTAATGTGCCATGATGGCTTGTTTCTAACATTCAATTTAGATCCAGCTCTGCTTTCTTAAGTGATTCGGTACAAAATTGGCAAAATGCGTCAAAGTTGATGTGACATGTCAAGATACACATTTGCGTCCGCTTATAAGCTCTGCTTAATTGATCACTGAAGAAGGAGAAATGATGGAGACGTTGTCCTCACCACTGAACGCTGCCCCATGAAGGGTTCCAACCACATGCCAACGTTGGCCCAAAGTTGCATGTTTACTGGGGTGATAACACACCTGTAGGCCACACGACTCTCCAGTCAATAGGCATGCAGATAATTTATGTTACACGCACAGCCCTTTGCTGATCCGTTGCTGGACAAGGACCTCCGCATGTTGCGTGGGCCAGTCGAGGTCAGTGTGAGTGAGAAAAGTCGGGGAGCATAGACACGGAAGCACAATACAGTACAACAATGGATTTTGCTGCCCTGCCATCTGCTGTACACCACGTAGCCTCGCAGCAGCCTACAACAAAAACAACAATAAGCTGTTGTGCCCAAAATGTTGTTGGTTAAGACCGAGTGCATTCCTCGTGATTTGATCCGAGGCGACAATTACTGGGGGACTGTTTCGTGGTTGATTGGCGTAAGCGTTGTATGGAACACTTTTAAAGTACAGAGGGCACCTGATTCAGTGGGAAATGGCCCAAGTTTGAAGTTGTATGGGGGCACCTGCCTGGGCTCAAGTATATGCTCTCCTGCCACAGTGGTGGATGACAACAATTATTAGACACAGACGATCTGTGTGAATGTGCTGGCACGGTTTACACAGACTATAAGCACTGAACCCTACAGAGACCTCTTTGTAGATGCACTGCTAAGTCATTGAGGGCTCCATTCCTTGACTGAGGCTAGACAACTTTAGTAACAAATGACTGGCTGGCTGACTGTATGAATACAAATAATTGTATGTGTATGCGTTTTTTTTTGGTCAGCCCCCCTATTGGATGAGTGCCTCCCCATACCACGTGCGTCATGGGGGTTAATTGACCATACTTCAACGCACTGGTCAGTGGGGTTTGGCGAAAGCGGCGAGTGGCGGCGTTCGAGTATAAGTTCAGCACAACGATGCAATGTTGCCGCACGAACTGCTGCAGACCATTACGTAACGTCGCTATGTGAACGCATGGCCAATTCTGGTCGGCAAATTTCCAGCACTTGCCAGGTTCAAGTCCGCTTAGCTTCCAATCTCTTGACGAGATCGGGTGCATTTTAGTCTTGCGTGTAACATAACTTTTGTTGTATAAATAATCGTAGGTATATCAGAGCGTGGAAGAAGCAGGCCCAGTAGCCTTCAGGAGGGGTCCATATTCTTTGGGTCTTTCGGTAAAGACTTTAACGTACAGACCCAAGAATATGAATTCCTGCAGTCACGAAAGCTTAAATTCACGATTCAAGAGGGGTTCTCTATAGCGCCCTCGAGTGGAGTGAACGTCCATCAGCAGCGGCACGAGCGAGAAATCGCAGGGTTACACCTCTACCACTTATATGGAAGACCTGTCATAAAGTCACATCCTTACACACACATTACAATATACACATATCTCACAACACAGGCCCTCTGTTCATACATGCTTCCGTGACACCGCGACACGCGTTTTTTGGACAAACTTCCAAAATCCGTTGGGGCTGTTCGTTGTTGACCCAATAGTAGGGGCGACCTCTCGCCCGATGTGCCTACGTGCATGCGCGCGCGCGTGCGTGTGGTGTGTGCGCGCGCGCGCGCGTGTGGTGTGTGCGCGCGCGCGCTCGCGCGCTCCCTGCTGTGTTTTCCTGGAATGCAAGAGCGCGGAGTGGCCACTCTTTCCAGGGCGTTGGGCCCTCTCTCTCCCCCCACCCCTCCTGGTTGCGTGGCTCGTCAAGCATGCCGAGAGGCTCACAACTCCCCTTGCACGCGGGCTTCGTGCGTGCACCACCGTCGCTGGCGGTCGCAAATTTGGGCACAAAGAGCTCTTGCGATTAAAGGGCGCGCTATTAGATTGTCAGTACGGTGATGTGTATCAACCGATGCAATCAAATCGAGCGGGGGATCGTTCGAAATTTAATAAAGTGTGCGTGAATAACCGGCCTGAGAAGAGGCTTTGAAAGTAGCTCGATCACTCCCAATTGTGCCACACTTTTGTTTGTAATTTTTCTTCAATAAAAAATATATAATTGACTCGTATATTTTCGCTGGAATACTCTGCGCCTGTTTGGTTTATGTAATTCAGTCAAGAAACAGCTGATGGATTGTAGGGAACTGAGAACAGCGGAGAATAATCAGCAGTGACACTTTTTGTTGAACTTCAGTAATTCGTGCTTTGTATTCAATAAAATAAACACGTGTCCAGCCAGTCAATCGCAGAGTGCAGGTTATGTTTTTATCTATTTCTTACGCTGTGTTTTTGGAATGTAGAATGTATTGTGCAAGTGCAGTCAGTAGGAACCTTCCAACATTCATTACGTGCCATTCACGACTAGACATTAACGTTTGTGTTGCTTTATGGGGAAAACTGACTTGTCTGCTATGGAGGGCATTCTTAATCCACTCCAATAATTGCTGCTTACCTATGTAACATTAAACCACAATGTCAAAGCTTCCCCTCTTCGCCTATACACAAAGTAGGAACATCTGGCTTGAAAAATAGATCAGCAAAAACCACTGGCTCCTTAACCCAACTTACGCAGCTCTGTTGATGCAAAAGTTAAGAACGCACTCGATGTGATACGTTGAAATACTAGATTTGAAGCTTTCGTGACTGCAATGATTCATATTCTTAGGTTTTTTTGGTAAAGTCACGTAGGTAAAGTCACGTACCTACGTGACTTTACCGAAAAAACCTAAGAATACGTTGAAATAGTTCATTGATTCACTTGAGAAATGTAATTGTCAGCTTTGTACCGAAAGTTAATATTTACCTACAGACTCAGATTTTAGCATAACGAATTTTACCAGTGTTCTCTAAGCTAAAACTGAATCAAATACTTCAATAAGTGTTATTGCCCAAAACAGTAGCTAATTTCACGCAAATTATAATCACCCTTTTCCGTTATAAATATTAATTACATTATTCATGATCACTGTGGTAGCTACAGAAGTTGAAGAGTTTAGCTCGTTTAAACAAATTCTTACTCGATAAACATCGGTCTGCAAAGCCAATTGGCCGAAGAACTAAACACATATTTGTTGATATGTGGAGATCTGCCGATATATGCCTCCCATTCAGTACAACAACAACAACCGGCGTTCACCACTGAGTGGCGGTGATGTCACCACGCGCTCGTGCCATGCTAGGTGCACTTTGAGGCCACGTGAAAGTGTCGAAGTCGGTCGGTCAAGGAACCCGACCCAGGCGCCACGGGTTGACCGACCCAGATTGACCACCATCAGTCTGCTTGCTCATGCGCCTTACTGAAACCGTTGCGTAACATTACACAGCAAACCCGGAGCGCCAGTCGTCGAACTAGCGTGGGGGGCGCCTTGCCCCCCCCCCTGTTGGCCAAAGCTACTAGTTGGGCCCCCCCCACCCCCCCCCTCTTGACGACCACCATGTTTTCAACAACAATGTCAGAGAACAAAAACGTATTTAAAAAAAGGCGGTTTGAATGAAACATTTTTTTTGAATGAAAATTGCTTTCATTTAGTAGTGGCTGAGTTTCGTGAAATACGGAGCGTCCCCCTAACAGCGTTAAATGTTCGAGACGGCGAGCGTAACGACGACGTGAATTTAGGCAAGAGGAGCCGCGGATATCGTAATGGTCTAGGTGCGAGCGTGCGAGACGAATCAAATATTAAAGGGGGGCTCCCCCACCCTCCCCACCCCCTGAGCCGACCGTGCTGTTACAACGCCGCTGACGGACACGCAGGAACGCACCTTCGTCGACGTAGTTGATGGCATTGCCCCAGACGGACGACAACAAGAGGCAGGCGCAGGTGAGCGCGGCGCCGAGTGCCGACGGTTTCATCCTGGCAACGAAGTGCGCACGTGTGCGTGCGTGAGACTCTGACCGAGACAGAGAGAGACAGAGAGTGAGAGAGAAGAGTGAGAGAGATAGTGAAGAGATAGATGAGTGAGAGAGACAGAGAGTGAGCGGGTCGCTTTGAACGCGACAGAAACACGAGTAGGAATGAGGAGGGACGAAGAGGAGGAGGAGGAAGCTTTGCTCAGCGTTTAGCCCCGATGCAGCCCGAGGTACCCCTTAAATAGAAACGAGACGGAAGCGCGGAGATTTTCAACCCCTGCGGACGAAGCGGGGTCGGCGGGAGGGAGGGAGAGAGAGAGAATACCACCGGGGAAGGGTGGATTGGGGGGGGGGCACGTGCCAGGAGCCTTTTAACAAAGGTGTCCTGGGAATTGCGTTACGGCTGATGCTCGTGTGTGGGTGGGGGAATGTGTTGGCTTGGAGCGGGGCGGGGAGCTGGTGAGTAAGAGGTGGGGTTTGGGTGGGGGGGGGCATGGGGAGCGGGGGTGTAGTGGTTAGCGCGCTGCACTATGAGCCAGGCCACCCCAGTTCGATTCCCGCTCACGGCCAACACCTAGTGACGATTGTCTGAACCGGTCCTGGGCCTGCTCCCCTAGATCGACTCAGCCTCAAATGAGTACCTGCTGCGGCGCGTATACATCACCACGAGGGAGACACAGGGCGGTCGGGCGTGGTGCTGGCCACCCACCTCCCTCGTGTGCCACAGTGCCGGTAGCCTTCATAGGTGCCACTCGCTAACAGCACTTGCCCCGACTAGTCCGGCACAGGCTACACGAAGGGGGGACCTCTGTCTTTGTGTGTTGGCTTGGAGAGGGGGCAGGTGAGTAAGAGGGGTGGGTGGAAGCAATGTCGTGGGGGGGGGGGGGTCGTAGGGCAGAACGTGTAGGGAATTGTGCCGTTGCATTGGTCGCTCCCCCCCCCCCTCCCGCTTTCTCTGCTCGTTCGTGTGGGACCACGGGGCCTTTCTGAGTTTCGCAGGAGATTTTGCGGGGGAGGGTTTAAAAGCAAAGTGGAAAGAGAGAGAGAAAAAAAAAACAATCTTGTGTAATCTACCTCCAGTTTCCTGAATATCTGCGCACCCGAGTGGCTAATTATGATGGCACAGCACGAGCAAGGAGCCTGGGGAATTCGGAGAGGGGTCATCAGGGGTTGCGCGAGTAATCAAGAACACACCGCCCCCTTAAACTTGACTCCCACATCGAGAACACCAAGTTAAGGGGATCCGTTCTGGATCCAATAAGAACGAAAAAAACACCCCTCCACCTTTTTGGTGCTGTTATTTTACCCGCGCGTGCCGCTTAATTTTTTTTTAGATATGAAACTAATCATTCAAATTCTATTGACGGCTACAGAACAATCAGTACACATCCTTCTGTATTGGACGTCGTAAAAAATTTAAGATGCCTCTGGAGGTTTGCCACGCGATTGTTTTGTCCTCAGAATATTGCTGAAATCTGGCTTCTGTTAGCTTCGTAGGAGCCACTGCTCCACATTCTGTAACTTCAATCTGGGTCCCTTGAGGTCACCCTTTGCAAAAGTGCACGTACGAACAACTTAAATTTTGTCCAGAAACAAGCCTCAGACAAACACAACATTTTACCATTTCGGACTGCAGATTGTCCCTTGGCTATGCCTGGGATGACATTCTGAATCAATTGGCGATCATCTTCTTCTTGGCATTTCCCCAAATCATGTGGGGCCTGCCTTCCTGCTCCTCTTTCTCTACTCATCACTTCTTTTTCTGTCGTATGGCTGATGTAAATGCAGAGGAGCAGCTACAATTTCACATTCAGGTGGTCAAGCCACAGCTAACTGCGTCAGGAGCAGCGGAGTGTATCGCTGTGATGATGTCTCCTTCGTATTTGTGGATCGGGCTTTGCGTCGTTATACGTTGCACGGTCTGTTCTGGATGACCTACAGTCGCACACTGCAGAGTTTTGAAGTTTCCATTTGTGCATCAGGTATCCACATTTACAGCCATGGTTTGTGCAGTGGATGCGCTTTAGGGTGGACCGTGAAGGTTCGTGGAAGATCAAACCCAGGGGTCTTCTGCGTTGGGTCTTTCACGAGGTGTTTGTGTGCGAGTTCTTTTGAACTCCATTCTGTTCTCCAGGCTTCATCGGGGTTGAATTCGCATCGTTTGCTCTTCACTGTCCTAGACCATCTCATCCACATCCACCCCACAGGTCTCCATATTCTGGGGCTCCACTTTCAACCACCTGTTTTTAGGTATGTCCCTTGGTCGCTGGCCTGGTGCTTTCATGCTCATAACTTTCATCTGTTCATAGCCTTACTGACATTTCTTGACCATCTGAGTTGACGTTCAGTTTCTCTGACATGGGTACCACCGCCTTTGCCTTCTTCCTCATCTCTCCGTTCCTGACCCCGTTCCAGCTTGAATTATGATCCCTAAGACCCAATCTTGCCATCCTCATATCTGTGATGTGCATCATCTGGCTCCACCTTGGTTTTAAAATTGTCCAACAGTCACACTTCTATGTCAACACTGGTCTTATTACTGCCGGTTAGTGGAGCGGTGGTGCAGCAGTTAGCACGCAAATCGAACTCGGCGTCCCGAGTTCGATTACCGCTCACAATCAACACCGGTGAAACATTATCTGAACTCATCCTGGGCCACCCCTTGGTCGACTCAGCCTAAAAAATAGTACCTGGTGCATTGTGTAAACATCACCACTGAGGAGGTAAAGGTGGTGGTCGGGCGTGGTGCTGGCCACCCACCGCCTTCTTGTGCCAATCTGACCTTCGTAGGTGCTCGCTAACAGCACTTGCCCCAAACGTATGTTAAGGCTATATGGGGGATATTTGTTTAGGTATTACTGTCCCAAGTGCAGAATGGTGTGAATCTCCATTTATGGCCCTGGGCCAGAGTTGAAATTCCACATTCATAAGCTGGGTTCATTCACTCGATAATACAACTGCTGTTCAGCTTCAGCGCTACGGTACTTATTCCATTAACCACAGAGGGATGAATAGCTGAGTTGACCCAGACAACCGGGATTTGAAATTACAGGCCTCAAATTGCAAGTAATTATCGTCATCTTCTCCTGTCCTGCCAATGTACAGAACCTGCTGGGTCCACAAACTTACGGCAATGCTCTTTGGTTCTTTCGGCAAAGTCACGTAGGTATAACATAAAATAAAATGTAATTTAAATCACGACGTTTCAGAAGCAATAGTGCTCCACTTTTTAACTATATCCCACCTTTTGCTGTTGTTTCCATGTCTTTAGTTTCCCTTCGAGTGCCTTTTCCACTCCATCAGTCCATCATTTTTCCCAGTCGTCTTGTTATCTTTTCACGAGCGTCGACCCACACTTTTTTTTCTCGATTCCTATGTGGTGCCATTCTTATGATATGACCATGCCATAGGAGTCCACTGTCACTGACACGAATTGCAAGTTACATGGTATAAACGATCTTGATTTGAAGCTTTCGTGACTGCAGGAATCCATACTCTTTGGTTCTTTCGGTAAAGTCACGTGGGCGCCTGAAACGTCGTGATTTATTTTATTTTATTTTTATACCTACGTGACTTTACCGAAAGAACCAAAGAGTATGATATAAACGGTACACTGCTCCGTTGGAGTACGGATCGTGTACAGCAAAGAGAATATTTCTTATCCTTTGGGAACATTAGGCCACAGTTTCAGGCTACGTGGTTTAAAGGTCAGTTTATTTGGCTGCTTTAAATTTCCACGTGATAAGCCACTTTGCTGAGTTATCATTTGCAGCCAGGTTCCTTCTGAAGAATAACACTGGTCAACAAACATTTTTTTTTCTGGCCTGGACTTTTGCAGCTGTTTAAGACTAATTTCAGGGTGCTGATTCCAAATCTGGTCTCAGATTTGCTCTATCACATCTCATTTTTTATGCTATCGGCATACCCCATTTTCATTGATTTTACCCGAAATTAACTCTGTCACTTATGATTGCAAGTTGTTGCGAGTCAGTGACTGCTTTAGTGTTAAAATATGGTGCTGTATTCTTAGGATAGTGTGTTTATAATATCATTTTATGTAGATATCCACATTTATTTAATATTTTTCTTCTGCAGTTTTTATTGAAAATGCAATATTTGATATCTCAAAAACCTGATGTGATAGACAAAAACTGATGCCAGATTTGGAATCAGCACCCCAAAATTACCTTAAAACCGTTGGAATAAGTTATGCCAGAACAAGTGTGTTGACCAGTGTAAGTTAATAGCTCAGTGAGATTTACCTGGCAAGATAAATAAATAGTTCAGGTTTAATTGTATATATATATTCAAAAGTGATTTGTTAACATGTTCCTATACTCTGCTCCACTGTCGTGTTTTGTTTGTTGTTGGTGTTACGTTCCGTTCCGCCCCTACTGGACATCCGTGAAAAATATCTTCATACCTGCATTTCCCATAAATATGCTAAATTACTCTTGATATGCAAATTATTTTGTCAAGGCGTTCTTCCTCCTCCATCCCAGCTTAAATAGACGCTCCAAGCCTGGGGTGTGTCATTCAGACTCTGTCTTCTCGACAGACCTGTTCTTCACCTGAGGACGGCTGCTTGCGTTGTGGCCGAAACGTCGTGAGAATTATTTTATAATGTTTTATTTTTTATTATTTTATTATTTCCATTCTACGTGACTTTACCGAAAGAACCAAGAAAAAGATCTTCATAGCTCCTTCGGATTCCTCCAGTATAAGTAAATATTCGAATTCTAAGGAGATGGAACGGATCAGATATTAGTATTTCAACCACAAGCTGCAGGGAGCCCCGCTGATTTCACACAGTTCCACATCCAACTGCTATAACCACTAGAAATTGATACATAGTAAACTAAGAAAAAAAACAAGGTCACAAGGTCCTCCTAATATTCACAGACAACATGTACGATTGAATTGTTTGGAACCAAGAGTGGCACAGCGGTTATGTTTAACACGTAGGCTTGCGCGACCAATGTTATTCATAATCAACGTTTTTGGGTTTAGATTTTGTAAATGTTGTGGCTTCAACACACCGGTGGGCTAAAGCAGTGAACTATTTGTCTTTTGTCAACGTGACACTTTTTT